GGGTGTGCATTTTAAGGCCATAGCGATTCATCTCTTTATATAATCAACTTCTCTCGAGCAAAATATGCATCATTAGTCTTTATTTAATGTGATATGTTCAGTCTTGAAAGATAGCACGAGATAAGTATTCATTTTGTTCATGAAATGGCTAAAGGAAGTGGACCGCGCACGTAGCGCGCGCCCACGGGCCGTGTCTTACCCTATTAGGGTATCTTTCATTGTGATCAACTTTGTTAGGGAACACCAAAATCTTGTCAATGAACTCATGTTGCTCGAGAAAAATTCATGTTTGGTCGAGGGTACACGTTAGGGCCGTCGGACGCGCCTATCGCGCACGCCGTGGCCAATCACATCAATTTTCATGTTAATGTCATGACCCTCAGACCCATGTATGTATAAATGTGTTAATTCAAGGAAAATGGCCGCACGGCCGGCAAGGGCCGGTCACGGACATGCTGTCGCACGTAGCGGCCATGCCGGCAGTGCTGTCCCAGTGTCACGTATGCGCGACCCCGAGCTAGTCGCTCGTGCCACGCGCAGTAAACCTCGGGTCGTGCCAACAGCGCACCCGAGTGTTTAGTACCATGCCTTAGCGAACCCGAGTAAGGTATAGAGGCCTCGGGACGTGCCCAGCCGCACGCCCGAGCAGTTAGTTGGCCCGGGTCGTGCCAACAGCACGCCCGCGTGCCCTGGGGTCGCCCGGCAGTGCCCTGACAACCTTAGCCGCGCCGAGCCGCGCGAGTAATGTCTGGCCCGTTTAGCCGACAGTTCGAGTCCATTTTGGTTCGTAATTTTCAGTCCAAGTCTTATTTTGAAATTTAAATTATTTTGCGAGCCAAACCAGATCAGTTAAGCATATCAGTATAATTTCCGGACTTAGAATTCATTTCTGTAAAACCTTAGTGCATTCCTTTATATCCGGATATCATATTAAGTCGAGTCGAGCCTCTTAACAGTTAAAATTATTGATCTGAGCATAGTACTTAGTAATTGTTTATATTATGTTACAGTTTGATCAGTTCACGACTATCAGCACTTCCAGTTTCATATCTTCAGTACAGGTGGGGACTCAGACTGGGCATTACATTGATTATAATTACGATATCATGTTCAAGGTATGTCAAATTATGTTTTCCGCTTGGAATGGATGTTGGCCGGTTCAGGTTGCCATAATTCCGTTCTAAGTTCTAGTGGCGTCATCTACCACTAGTATGTGCACATGGACTCCGGCAATCATTGTTATCATCATTATCATTATTATCATGGCAGCCGGTAGATTCACGGATCCCGGTCCGGTTTATACTGTTGACCAGGAAATTCACGGTTATGTTATATGCTTTTGATCATGATAGTACTATTATTATTGCTGTTTACTTTAGTATGAGTTCTACGGAGTACAGTGGTACTCACACCCCATTTTTATCAAATTTTTCAGGTCACGAAGTCGGTCCGGAGCTGTGAAGTTGACGGATGATCGAAGTTAAATATTTTATTGTCTTGTTTTGCCACGCTATGTTCCGCTGAACTTACTGTTTTGACAAACTTTGACTTTTGATTCGATTTCATAGTCGGATTGTATATTATGTTAATCCGTTTTGCTTGTAAATTTTAAACGATCGTAATGGATTTTTAAAGATAAAATAAATCTTTTAGTAATGCTCCGAATCATTTTCTTAAACTATTTTTAAAAGATGTCTTTAAAATGTACTCTGATAATTATTTTAAGGCGGGCGTTACATGGTCGAGGGCGAGCGGAACGCTAGGTTCATCCAGGGCTACGTTAGGCAGAAGCGTGCTAAGTCGTATATCTATAGTATCGAGGCTAATGGGTCATCCCTAACCCAGGAGTCTCAGATTCGAGAGTTGGTTGTTGCTCACTTCCAGACCCTCTTCACCTTTGACAGAGGGTCCCTCGTGTCCCCGACCGCTTCTTTCTTCCCCACCATCCCTCCTTCGGTCGATCTTATTGGACTCTGTGAGCTCCCGAGTAGGGCGGAGGTTAGGGATGCTGTCTTCGGGATTGATCCCAACAGCATTTCTGGCCCGGATGGTTTCTCCTCTCTCTTCTACCAAGTCTGCTGGGATTTAGTCGAGACTGACGTCGAAGAGGCAATGTTGGATTTCTTCTCTAGTCATCGGATGTCGGATTCCTTCACAGCTACCTCTGTCGTCTTGATCCCTAAAAGAATCAATCCGAGCTCTTGGTCCGATTACAGGCCCATCATCCTGTGTAACGTAACCAACAAGCTCATTTCGAAGATTCTTAACGGTCGTCTATCCCCTCTTCTCCCCTCCCTCATCTCTCCGAACCAGAGTGGCTTCGTCAAGGATCGGGTCATTAGTAATAACATCCTTTTGGCCCAGGAGATGATCCACGACATCTCCCATGCGGATTGAAAGCAAGCTCCGAACATTGCGCTGAAGCTAGATATGGCTAAGGCGTATGGAGTGGCCGTTTCTGAGGGAGGCACTGGCTAGGATGGGATTTCCTGAGCGTTGGATCAGCTTTGTGGAGGCGTGTGTGGAGCACTGCACGTTCTCGGTCCTGGTTAATGGCAGCCCCACCGAGGTATAGAAGGGAGTCTTCATTGTAAATCCTAAATGTAATGGGCCATACATCTATATATACGAAAGAGTTCTGGAGGGGGAGCGGGATGCTCCCCTGAAGGTTCATGTTTTATAGAACCATGTTTCCGCAACTATGTGAACTTAGATTGAAGTTTACTGTTTAATTTGTTTAGCGAAATTTTGATATATCTCCCCAAAATTTTAATTGGCACCAGAGAGGATTTTCATACGTATGCACGAAGATGTTGAGGATCTATTAACGGAAAACCATAAATCATGATAGTGAATCAATGTCTAGGCCTTCGCAATTTGGATGGCTTGAACTACTCTTACTGGAAGTCAATGATGACGATCTTCTTGCTATCGCTTGGCAAAGGTGCTTGGAAAAGTGTAGAGAGTGGATGGACTCATCCAGTCAAAAGGGAAGCACCTGACAGTGGAAAAGATACCTCATCAGCGGTGGTACTTAAACTAAGAGATCTATGGTCAGATGCTAAAATACTGCAAGATGAAGCAAACTTTCGTGCTTTGTACGCAATTCTGACGGCAGTTGATCTAACACAGCATAAGATGATAGTTCAGATTATAACTGCAAAGGATGCATGGAGAATTTTGGAACGGAAGTTTAAAGGTTCCAAGGTTGCAAAATCTTCCACACTTCAGTGAGTAAAATGAAGGAGGATGAAACTATTGATCTCTATTACTCCAGGTTTTGTGACCTGGTGAATCAAAGTGCAATGCTTGGAGAGAAAATTTCTGAGGAACGTCAACTTCAAAATACTTATGAGGACGATACCGACTCATTCAAAGAGAAGGCCACGACTCTTGAAAGTTTTCAAAGAATCAAACCACTTGATCTTGATGATCTACTAGGTGATCTTAGAATGTTTAAAATAAACAATGACTACAACAAAGTCAAGAAAAAGGGTCTAGCCCTCAAAGCTGTTGTGGCATCGCAAACAAAAGAACGTAATGAAGATAAAGGTTCACTTGAGGAAGATGTTAAATTCAAGGAAGCTTTTGCCCTGATTTCTAGAACTATGATAAAATGCGTCAAAAGCTGTACTAAAGCAAATTTGCTGAGAAGAAGTTCAACAGCAATAACAAGAACTCATTTCAGGAGAAACGAACCAATATTCCTTCCTCTAAATCAGATACTCAAATTATTGACAAGGATTAATGCTGAGAGTGACGAGGCTATGAACACTTTCAGTATGAGTGTGCTAACCTCAAGAAGAAGAATAAGTCTCTAAATGCTACTTGGGATGACTCGAATGAGGAAGAATTTGATGAACCAACATCACACAAGAACAACATGACGTTTCATTCTACTGTACTCAAGTTTCAGTGTTTACCAACCACTCATAGTCCTACGAAATTTGAAGAAAGTATGAACGAGTCTCAAACTCGTACATATGTGTGATGTTTCTGATGATGAAGTAGATAAATATAATTGTGTGGATTTGTTGGCCATGGAGAAATGTTTACGTGCTGCAGAAGTAATGAAGAAGCTACTTAGTGAGATCAAGATAATTAAAACTCAGACCCAGGCAAATGATTCAACTGAAGAAGTGGAACACCTGTGGGGAAAGAAGTTCATAAGGTGAGGGAAATCAATGGGTCACTCAATGACCAACTGATTTCCTATTAGGGTATACAGTAAAATCTCGGCTTTCGATTTCTGACAATACCATTTTGAATGAGAATTATGTTTTAGTCAAGTATGTGTGTTGCTGTTTCTTTATTTATGCGAGCATAAGTTCCTTTATTTTACACTGTAGATAATATGGTTCGATGTGTCGAACAGAAAGATCATGTTATCAGTCATTTTAGTCAACTATATGTTGTGAAAGGTTGTAGTGTACTTTTGATTCAATTGATCATTGACTGATGAATTACACAAAGTACATCTTCCACGAGGGGAATCGACCCGCCGAATACCTGGCCAGCCTAGGTACCTCCACCCAACAGAGGCGCACCTTCCTTCAGGATGACGCCCCTCTCCGACTTCGTTCTCTTATGGAGATGGACCAAATGGGCTTCCTTATTTAAATTCTAATAGTCGTTCTGTATATTTTGCGCTTTGACTCTCTTTGTGGAGCAGATTGCGTGTCTGAGCACCTGTCAGCCCAGGTTTAGACTTTTCCTTTTGGTTGTTGCACTTTTCTTTTCTCATTTTTTCATTTCGAGTTATAGTTGGAATAGTGTAGACCTGTGATTTTTTAACTCATTTAAGGTTTTGACAATATATATGTTGAGGATCCGATCTTAATCCCCTTGGCGTGTTTTTTAAGGAAAAAAAAAAAAAGCTGACTTAGCAATTTCTGATTTCCTCTCACATTCATTTCACGAATTTCATCTAACGAGGTTTGTTTTAAATTGCAAAAAGTCCTCTTCTCTCGCGAATAACCCTTCTTTTTTTTATCAAAAACAAAATCTACAGTTCTTCAAGAAAACATATCTCCAAAATCAAGAAAATCTGACATTTAACATGGGAAAAGGGGAATATTTCACCTGACAGTCACCAGGGAAAATCTGACATTTAACATGGGAAAAGGGGAATATTTCACCTGACAGTCACCAGGTTTTACTATTGATCCAATGGATTAAAAAAAGACACCAGTGATTACACTACATCGTAGGAGTCGGGGAAGGTTCTTAAATTTACACTTTGTTACAGAAGGACAAAAAGAATCGTCACCTGAAACCCTTTACTCAAAGGCTGCGCATTCTACTCATGAAGATAAAAGCGCAGTGATTATGGATTCACAAAGCGTGGAATTATAGATCAACAGATGTCCGGTATCCGGAACCTCATGATATTGGATCCATGGAAGCTGCTCGGCCAAATATCGATTAAGCTCTTGAGGAACAGCTTTATCTTCATACCCATGCCACATATGAAACGAGCCTTCTTTGTTAGGGAAAGGATTAACGATATTCATGGGTTCGAAATCCCATTTCCCAAAACCTATCATCATATCCCTATGCAAACATTCATGAGCACCTTGTTGTAGTATTTTCTCCTGGGAAAAAGGACAAATAATAGAAAATACAGTTATTGATCAGCACACACAAATTATGAGAAAACCCTGGAATTTCGAGTTATTAAATGTCTTCGATTATCTTCTCCAGAAAGTAAGTTTATGCATTAACATGTTAAGCATCTCTGCATTAACGTTAAATCACAAAACCCACCCACAGGGATTAGCCTAATAACAAAACACCTGGTTAACTTTAAAATAAGTTAAAGATACATCTGCTAACATTTCACAATTGTACCCTCCATGAAGAGGGCTATGTCTTATTTTGAAAGACGAACTAAATGCAAAAGTGCTCAGTAGCAAATACATGAAAAATAAGGACAGTACATTAGCAGAATTGTGATTTAGGAAATATTTGAGGTGACAGGACAAAATTATAGCTAAAATTGCTTACATGACTAAAAGTACAAAATGTGGGACCAGGGGGTTATATGCTGGGACTAAAAAGTTTGGTAATTTTTCACACATACGCAGGATTTGTAATTTTGATTGAAGGTGCAACAAGGCTTAAAAAACCTCAGGTGACAATAATCAAACCTCAGAATCAGACAAGGTTATTGGGAAAAGGTCACTTACCTGTTCCTCTTTTGGAATTCCTGGCGACTGCTTGAGGATCTCAATGTCCGAGCGGCTTAAAGCATCGAGCTTTCCTTGCAAGAGGCTGAAAGACGGGAACAACTTCTGAGTCATCCACCAGTTCAACAGCCAGGGGGCATAATGGGCAATTCTAAAAGTCAGCCGGTCTTCGAAAATAATTTTTCCCAAGGCTTTTTTTGATAGTTCGGGAGGAAAGCACCGCCACCAGTAGTTAACGACAGGAGAAACGAGTGCAGCTCCCGAAACCCTTTAATAACAGAAAATATCAAATCGGCATCTGATAGTGGTAGAATACAATGAATTAAAAATTACAAAATTATACTTCGTGATAACTAAAAGAAGATGCAATTGTTTGAAGTTAAGGCTGAGGTTAATTATTAAAAAAAAAAAAATCTACTTACCAAAAAAATTATACTCAAAGGACTTTTTAAATGTTTATGTTCATCACAACTAGAGCCATGGACAATGATGCAGGATTTTATGTATAGAGGTGAGTAATAAAATTGATATGTGATGCAAGCACTGTTAACAATAGGACTAACAATATTGCAGTACATTGATTTTCATAATTATAACTATGATATTAAACATTATCACTTTTTTTTTCCCTATCAATCTCAAATTTAACTTTCAGCAACTTTCTCGGCCAAAATACTTTAGAAAACAGCAACCTCTAGCTTTCTGTAAATTGACATGGACAACAAATCAAAATGTTAGTCTCAGGGCAAAGTATATGGTCCAATTTAATCATATACAGTAGTGTACCTGTGAGGGAGGTATTTAAGGCAGCCGTAAACAGGATAAGCTCCCATGGATATACCAATCAGATAAAACCTGGGCCCGAGATTCAATTTGTCAGCCAGTTCCTGAATGTCAAATGCGTCGCTCTTCACAGTCCTTGCAGGATTAGGGTCACTCTCTCCATAACCCCCACGATCGAATGACAGGATGTATATACGTACTTCGTTTATGAGCTCCTTGAAATTAGAATATTAAAAATCATTATTACAGATTAAATATTTCTGATCACAATCAAGAAAATAACTATACAATAACATCTTGATTGGAAAAAAGAGTTTTCGAGTTTACAGTAACAACTTTGAGAAATTAATCAATTCTTCACGCCGGACGCAATATAAATTTTGTTCCAAACAAGGAAATATGAAATAGAGGACATGCATTCACGATACTCATAGCAATGAAATCATAGAAACAAACATTCACGTATCACCTCAGAAAAACAAACAAAAGAACATTAGTAGTTGCCATTCTCATGCACCACAAGTAATAGCCTTGAAATGTACAATTTATCCCAAACAAATTCAACAGCAATGACTTCACTGAAGGAATCAAAATTAGACTGATATACAAACGATATTCAATTATATTCACAAAATACGTATACGCACTGTTCGATGCTAGTCAATCTTGTGTATACCAACATATTAACATTTGAAGCTCATAGTACCTACTTCTTTCTAAAAATGAATATTAAATTAAAATGTTTGAATAGCACATCCAGCAAAAAGTAACGTCACTCAGAACAAGATCAAAATACTCAAAATTCTGTTTACTTCGGAAACAGGAAGGTTGAAATCCTTAGAATCACCAAAGCCATGGGAAACAATTATCTTGTAATAGGCTTTTTCTTTTTCGATCCCTCTCTCCTTGTAAGCTAAATGCCTCCCATCACTAAGTTTCACCCTCGATGAGGTCACCGGAGGTCCACCCGGAGAGCCGCATATTTTAGGTGCAGGTGGTCTTATTGCCAGATAAGCATATCCCAAAAATCCAATTAGTGACCCAATTGCTATCTGGGCAATCATTATTTCTGTAGAACAACACAAGACTTATAGCAGAAACTAGCAATTCACAACACAATTTAGTTGCTTGCTCGTACGATGAGAACTATTAGTGAAAAAATAAACTGAATTTGGTCAGAGTGAAATTACCATGAAGCATGCCATTAGAAAAGGAAGAATCTGCAAGTTTAATCATAGCCTGAGGCTGGTTAAGTTCTCTTTCCTAACCAAATTATTGTTTTTTTTTTTTTTCTTACTGACCAATAGTTTCAATTGAGAAAATTTTGAAAGTACCTATGAACTGAGTGTGCACACAATCCCTAAGAAAATCAGCGCATAGTTGTCATAACATATTTTCATATATAGCCGTGGATTTTATACCTGTTCAAAAACATTTCCAAACCCTTTTGCCAATTTTGGATCTTGGATTAGATGACAAAAAGGAATCCGACAAGTATAATTTAATAAAAGAGGGAAAGCAAGACGTGAAAAAAGAAAAACTTACTTGAAGTAAAAAATCTAAGAGGACTTTTGCCTCTTTTCTTGGATTTCCTAGTATGAGCCCTAGCTGAAGCTGCTGATATTTTCTTGGTTGTGTTTCCTGCCATTATTTGAGCGATTTCGATAGCAAGCTCAAAGGGGTTTATCCGTTTAGCAGCGTAGGTAGAAGTGGCCAGGGTGGACCAGCAACCCGGCTCGGATGTACGGGTCCTTGAATCGTACCCTTATCCATTACGGGTCGATTCTGGGTTTCATTTTTTCTAGTTTTTGACCCGTTGGGTCGATTCGGTTTTGGACCGGATCCGTTTCCCGGTCGCAAGACGGTCCCA